TAAAACATTGATCACCAACTGCATTCAAACTGTGTTTAAATTGATTTAGAGGTATAAACAATGACCGACACAACGTCTTTACAAATATATTAATAAAAGGCTACAAGTCTTATATAGTGTTGATATTGACAAAGACTTAAGTTTTATAGAAACGGAAACTGTTTTGTGTTACATTTCAATAGAACAAGGGAATCAAACGACTTCAAATATCAATTGTTGTCACGTGAGTCCAGCTTATCTCGAGATGGGAGGATAAGGGCTCTTCATGTAAAATTCAGGATAGGCTGACATTTACCGCAACTTTATCAATATTGTTTACTTCTCGACACAGTTCAAGTTAAGCCGTTAAAAGAAGAAAAAGGGGATACACAAAAATCTTAAGTCTAATAATAAAACACAACACAGAAAACTAAAGAACTCCACAAATAACTGGGGGTGAAATCGTTTGCTCCGGAAGGGTAAGCAGTTCCTGCTCCATTAGTTTACTAGTTGCCACTAAAAATACGGTGATTATTCGCATTAGGTAATTTCTCAATCGAGGAAAATAAGACAGGATTGTTAGAATTTCATTAGAACAAACGCTAGATTTATATCATATAATCCGTATTCTGATGTTTGTACAAATATATAATTAGTCAGCTATCTGTCGGAACTCATTTATCAACACGCAGATCAACCCAAAAATTAATGGTCGATCAAAGTTTAACGAAATTAAGCAACAGGCTGTTTATGGTAAATAAGCTCGTATGCAGTAGGCCTTATTATTCTTCTGAGAATTAAGGTTGTAATTTACTAGACAATCTTTAAAGATGATCATGTAAATTCTGCTAAAGATAAGTCATTTTTGATATCTCTCGTGGATTTATTTTCTATATTTTACATATAAACGGTAAAAGAGTAATGTGAAAAGCGAACGATACTTGGGGAGAATATATACATTATATAAATTATCTGGCCGGCCTTATATCACATATGTTAGAATATATACAACTAATCTGGCCCCATTTCACACATGTTATAATAAACAACTAATATGGTCCTATATCACACATGTTAGGTACAAGTAAACTGGCCGTACATCACACATGTTAGATACAACTAATCTGGTCTAATATCACATATGTTATAATATAAAACTAATCTGTTCCTACACCACACATGTCTGAATATACAACTAATCTGTTCCTATGTCACACATGTTTGAATATACAACTAATCTGGACCTATATCAAACATATTAGAATATTCAACTAATCTGGCCCTATGTCACACATTTAAGAATATATAACTAATCTGGTCCTATGTCACACATGTTAGAATATACAACTAATCTGGCCCCACATCACACATGTTAGAATATACAACTAATCTGGCCTTATGTCACACATGTTAGAATATACAACTAATCTGGCCCCACATCACACATGTTAGAATATACAACTAATCTGGCCTTATGTCACACATGTTAGAATATACAACTAATCTGGCCCCACATCACACATGTTAGAATATACAACTAATCTGGCCTTATGTCACACATGTTAGAATATACAACTAATCTGGCCCAACATCACACATGTTAGAATATACAACTAATCTGGCCCCACATCACACATGTTAGAATATACAACTAATCTGGCCTTATGTCACACATGTTAGAATATACAACCAATCTTTCCTATGTCACACATGTTAGATACAATTTTTTACTTATCTGTTCCTGTCACACATGTTAGAATATACAACTAATATGGCCCTATATCACACATGTAAGAATGGTCCTATATCACACATGTTAAAGAGAGGCGAAAGATACCAAAGGGATATTTTAACTCATAAGTCGAAAATAAATTGACAACGCCATGGCTAAAAAAGAAAAAGACCAGCAGACAAACACTAATACAAAAACACAACATGGAAAACTAAAGACTGAGCAACACGAACCCCGCCAAAAAACTAGGGGTGATCTCAGGTGCTCCGGAAGGGTAAGCAGATCCTGCTCCACGTTTGGTGTTCACGTTGCAATTCTTAGAATGGTCCTATATCATATATTTTTAGAATGGTCCTATATCACACATATAAGAATGGCCTATATCACAAATCAATCACACATGTTAGAATATTTTTATTTATTTTATGGCCGTCATTGCTCAGCGCGTCATATTGCTTAAACACCCGTCTCTTCTTTTCTATTGTATATATATATATGTTTTCAATTTAGACTTGTTTATATATATTTATATATAAAACTCGTCTCAAATTAAGCCCAACAATGTTAGATCTTCAAATTTGCGTTTTGTTCTTCCCTCAGCGGGATTCGAACCCTTGCTTCTGTGACATCGTGGCAACACCGCCTGCACCGCGTCCAGCGCCCTAGACCACCTAGGCTACATTATATATAGCTTTCGGTGGTCGATGTTATTAATGCCATTACTCGTCGGCTTTATCTAGGGTTGTAACACAGTACATGATGTATAGTGGCAAGTAGATGGTGTACCTTTCAGATCAGCTATTTTGTCTGTCGTAAAGGGTGATAATGATAATTAACATGCCGCCCCATCAAATCTTAATTTTATTATACACTTCTAAACATGTGACAACTTTATGACAGACATTCTCCATCGGATAACACGTGGTTATTCAGGGCTAACACCATAATATATATATGTATATATATAACTCGTCTCAAATTTAGCCTAACAATGTTTGATCTTCAAATTTGCGTTAGCAAATTTTTGTTCTTCCCTCAGCGCGATTCGAACCCTTGCTTCTGTGACATCGTGTCAACACCGCCAGCACCGTGTTCAGCGCCTTAGACCACTCGACTCGAAATTTTTGCAACTTATTGTACATGTTCTTTAAATATATTTTGCAGCTTATTGTACCATTGCGATTATTAAATCAAAACAAATAGTTGCGTTAGTTAAATAGTAAGAAGTTCAAGATTTATTCCTTTGGTTTTTGATAAAACTGTTTTTCATCGCTCTCATTCAGTCCATCAGGTCCAAGAGTACGTAGTTGATGCATCCATGCAAAAATTTTACCTGGATGGCTGCATGCGCCTGATGAAGCTAATTTGTTTAGCGAAATATTGCGTATATATAGGTTTATTCTAATTATCCTTAATATTCTTAACGTTTGCCTTCAATTATACCTTGGTGTATATGCATAGTTTCAATACCGATGCATTTTAACTGTCCACTCTGTCGCTCACGCATCCCCCTTCCCCCCTCTTGGGTGTTATCATAAACTGTATGACTGCTAAAATTAACTTGCAACTTTCGAACGTTCACTAAAACTCTACCCAACCACAACTATGTATAATTCCAATGTACTTAAATAAATATTTTACTTTTATAAAGCTATTATAAATTGAAATATGCAAATTCAATTATGTTTTTACTGCCCCTCACGTTATAAAACGTATTCTCGATATGTAAAAATGTTATTTCCATACTCTTTAGATTCCGTTGGTAACATTCTAATTTTAACTGATGAAACGGAGACTGAACGCAAAAATGAGAGAAAGTCACGCGATATCTTTCCACAGACAATTGTAATCTGTGTAATATATATGTTAGGAATGTAGACAACTTTGTAACTTTATATTCCATGGTGTCAGTAGAGATTAAGTTTTTTTTTTAATGCAGTAAAACAATAGTCATGTTATCAGTGTAATGAAGCTGCAAAAAATGGAAATATCGAGGGAAAAGCAAATGAAAAACATGAGTTTAGTTGGTGTTCTTCTTTTGTAAACTGTATCGAAAGAGGAAGAGACCGATGCACTACAATTCTAAATACACATCTGTAAATATCCATTTATTACTAGATTTTTTTAATTCGCTTTTTCCTGCATTATTCATGGAATAATTCGTTTCTCCGCCGTGACTCAGATATCAACAATTATGTTGAACACTACAGCACAAAATGAAACAAAAGGTAAAAAAAAGATAAATTCAAAAACACTTTGGAGCAGAAAAGTTTGAAAAAGCTTTGACACATAAATTTCATTTACTGCATACGCATTTTGGATTTCACTCCAAAAATTCAAAGAGGAAACGTCTTTCGCCACAAAACAAAAGTAATCGTATGATGTCAAAATTTCAAGTGTCACAAAACCTTTGGTTACTTGTCGCAGATTAGCGATAAGATCTATCAAATGATAAACACACTTTTTTGGTAAACCTTTTTTTAATGTAATACCTCTTCATGTACTATGTTTTATTTTACATATTTTTGATTTCATATCTTTTGGTTCTAATAAAGATCGAATGCAGAAACCCAAATTGAACTCGGCAAAAAGGTACTTTTATATAACTCCAGTGTAATATCCCAACAGCTATCAAGAATAGTATTTAAGAAATTTAATAGACTATAACAATTAGCCATTCTTATGAAAACTGATTTGATATAAATATATATTGTAATTTTTTTAATAGAAATAGTTTCTGACTGTTTTACTGGTATGTATGTCAACTGCATTCACAATCGAACGATAAAATGTTTCTTCCAAGTTAAAACAAAGTAAAAGTTACATATATTAATGTACTACCAATACATAACAAATATCAATAATATAATGAACTGTAACAGTAAAAAGTGTTCTTGTAACTTTCTAATTGTCGAACACTGCATGTGTAAAGAAAATGATATATCAGTATTCAATTATTTTATGGCCGTGTTTACACAGTTACAAGGAACATGGTGTAACAACAATACCAAAGATCCAGTCTAGGCCCTTGTATTTTTTGTGTTCAGCTATTGTAGGTTTTCTTTAGCAATACGTATTCTTTAAACTAAATTATACATCTTTAAAAACGTAACGTTGTAGGACTTAAAAAATTGCTATGTGAACACCAATCAATGATCGAAGTGATAAAAAAGGATTATGCAAACTTGTCGGAAAAGCAGTAAAGGCAATGAAAAACTATCACGGATTTATAACAAATCTTCATAAATCTACTTACAAATGTCAAATTGTCTTAGAAAAGTTTTCTTACCTGTAATTGCAATTAATAAAATAATCAAAACAAATCCAAGCATCCTTATTTTTATCATATCACGTGATGCAAATACTTAGAATTAGGCACATCGAAGATGAATTAAGTAGCACCGAAAACAACAACTAATTCTGCTTTTAGTTACGTGAATTGCATGGTACAAAATGCAAAACTAATAACGTATAGCAACTTTATATAAATAAAACAACTTCTCCCATTGGATCAATATTGCCAGCAGTAAACCAATCGAAAACAGATTTACAGTTTCTCTGTCACAGTTCTATTCTGTTTTGATTACAACTGTCAATTAATTTAATAAGGCAATACACAATATATCAGGGAATTCACAGAGAGAGGAGATTTCCTACATCTTCTTTTGTTCTTTTTGTGTTATACTTAAACTCATAAACAATTAATGAAATGAGACATTAGCATGCAAGACTTTGTATCATGTATTTGAGGAAGATGAAAGTGACATTGGAATAAAAAATATTGTCCCGGCAGGTGAACTGTAATTAGAAATCAATGATGAGGTATTTATCTTGTTTTTCCGATCACAAGTTAATGAAAAAACATTTATGTTCTTCCGAAAGCCATCATATATTTTGTTTTACACATCCACAGATTGATTATTAGTCGTACAGTTTGTGTGCTTTAATTAATAAGTTACAAGGATGAATTAAAGTTGTTGAATTGAGAGAAGTTTTTATTTGTAGTTTTAATTAGTTTTCGTTAATAGAAATAATGGAAAACAATTTACCCTTACAAATGTACATCGTTTTATAGACCCTTACAAATGTACATCGTTTTATAGAATAGTCAATCATTCCATGCAGTAGAAAAGGGATTATTGATTGATATATAGCACCGATTAACATAACAGAATAAGTTCGGATTGAGCATTAAAGTTACAAAAAAAGTCTCTCTCAATAAGTATTAACGAGAGGAAATGTCATCAATACACCAAGGTTAGCAAAATTAAAACAAAAATCAAAAAACAAAAAAGAAGAATACGACCAACAAGGAATTCTTGTTCTAGGTATAGGGTTTTCAAGAATCTAAGATAGTTTAGACCAATTTGTTTATATTAAAAAAAGTCAGGTTTTAACAAAATTAAAACTAGAATGAATTATCAGTGAAAACCTTTTAAATGCTACAAACCCCTGCATGATATCATTAAAAAAGATAATAGGATGGTTGAATAAAATACGAAATATTGACGTGAAAGGAAGACGAGGGGCATTTACTGAGTAACTGGAATCGACATCGATATACTAATTACTTTATTAGGACAATTCCTTGATGCAGTTAAAGGTCAACCGCAGTAACATCATATAGAAAGGTCATAGAAGTTTATCCTATAAGTCGATCTAAATTTCATTATATTCAATTTTGAAGCATGGAACAACAGTTGCAAATTCTACAAGTGTAGCAATGTTATCCTGGGAAAGGTATAGGGCACTTTTCTTCACAATAGCTAGGAACAGCAAATACACTTGGATCAAGGGGAGGGTTGTATGTAAAACTGTTCTGATTAAATTCATGTTATGAACTATGTCACCAGTGAAAGACTTAGTGTGCAGCTGGCAAGGTACACCTTTGTCCGTAACGTACCATGTGTCTATTGTTGATGCCCCTTTGATCTGCCATCCGTGACAAATCGTTCCATAGAAATGCAGATCTCCAATATAAGACGAATTTAAAAGCCATGTTTGTTTCAAGACTGTGCAATGCTGGTCTTTTTTACACTGAATGCAGCATTTTTGAATTTCTGGATAAAAAACATAAAATTGTTTGTCGTTCGCAAATAACAGCCTACAATGTGCAGAGCGATCTTCTGGACAAAGATTAGATGCGTGGCACCATACGTCTATCTGACCTTGAAATTTGTCGTACGTCATTGAATTGAGTTGGAAGCCATACGTCCAAGATCCATTGTTCTGTATTTTGAGTCCATCAATATTGAAATTTTCTACAAATGACACGGAAAAAGCGGGTGGAAGTAACGGTGGCTGTAAACCGGTAGCCAGCATGACATAATCAAAAGTAGCCAGCCATTTTGTAGTTGTCATTGTTTTCTAAAATAAACACAATTTTCTTCTTATGTCTTTGAAAAATAACCAAAAATCATGAAATAATGAAATAATAAAGATTGTGTTGTTATCATAGATATTCTTATATTTGAGACATTCGCTATACATTCTGAATCTTTTTGTATCAGACATTTCGAAATACTCAAATAGTTTAACTTTATTGCAAAAAGTAAACCCTGAGTGTTAAAATGCAAACATTACATGTACATGAGAAACATACAACACATGAAAAAAGTTCTAAACTAGTAAAGTTAATATTAATAACATATAAGTATAAAGATGTTTGACCAATGTGGACCTCATTTACGCAACTCCATGGATTGTTTTATATAGCCCATAACATAAGACAAAATATATCTTTTGGGATCTAAAAGAGTTTTAAGTTAAGAGTTTGAGTCAAGCTGCTTAAAATTAAATTATGATAATGGGTTTTAAGGTAGCTGGGGTGTCTTCCTCCATCTTGGATTTTGAAATAGCAGATAACAATCGGTCTTTATTTTCAATGAAAGTGTGCAAATTTCGAGAGTAGTATGTAATTCATGTGTAAGACTTTTCGTGTAACTATAGAAAATTATGTGTTTTGTCATATTTACGGCTGTATTTTACAAAAAAAACAGAATATTTTTGTTTGATTCATTTTTTTTCAACTTTGCCACATAAGGGGAGATAACTCAGATAGAAGAGGAGATAACTCTGATAAAGTAACTTTTATAATAGAATGTGTTGTGAATTTATCTATGTTATTATGTAGCAAGAAAACGAGTCCGGTGACCCCTTTTTTTTCTTTTTCTTATCTGAAAGCATATTATTAGAGCTATCTTCTCATATTTTTCTTACAATTCTATGGTGCAGTTTTCTTTTTATCACACAAAATTTGTGTTTTCCATGCATAATCTATATAAAATCTGACAATTTTGCACAACTTGTAGCGTGAAAAAAGCCAGGTGACCCATACTTTTTATTATATTTTTGAAGAAAAAAATCAATATAAAAACTACATTTTCACAAATTTTTAAAAGATTCTATGGATATTAATGAAGACCCCCCTATCCACCTTAATTGCATTTATAAGGGATTTTCTAAGAAAGAAGTTACGTTAGCTCAGACAGTCTTTAAGAATAGTTTATTCGAAAAACAATTTGCATGATAAAAAAACATTAGCACTTCATGAATTCAAAACAAACAGCAGAATAACTTAAGTAAATCTGTAATTATAATTGAAAAAATATCTTGAAAAATTTAATGAATTGTGCATTTAATCTAAAATAAATACCATACCTTGGACCTTGGCTGTCACATAAGTAGATTGTGAAATTTATGATAAAACTTGACCCTAAACCTTTTAAACTGCTTCATAATTTTATCAAAAATTAAATATAATTATAGATCTCCAAAAACATTGTGATACGGAACAGTATACTAAGCGCTATTTTCTTTGTTTTTCACCAATCTTGAAAGTGGGTGGGTTTTTTCTGAAAACCATTAGATTGAAATGATAAAGAGAGGCGAAAAATACCAAAGGGACATTCAAACTCATGAGTCGAATATAAACTGACAACGCCATGGCTAAAAAAGAAAATAACAACCGACAAACAATAGTACACAAAACACAACAAAGAAAACTAAAGACTGAACAACACGAACCCCACCAAAAACTGGGGGTGATATCAGGTACTCTTGAAGGGAAAGCAGATCCTGCTCCACATGTGGCACCGGTCGTGTTGCTTATGTTAGTACAAACCCGGTAATAAGTCTAAATCGGTAGGTCACATTCGGAAAAAGGGGACGGAATTGTAGTTACGACATTAGGAACATAAAAATTATCCGCAATCCGTAAATCTTTCCTCCTTGTTTCATTACTTTTCGAAAGAAATGAATATTTTATATAATTACATATAAGAGGGTCTTAATGCGGTTACCGTCAAACCCCCACACAGACCCTCATATAAATCACACACATAATCCATCTAATAAATGGTCACCTATTGAAGGACAGTCACGGAGATTTTTAAGTGGAAAATACTTCTAAAATAAACAAAAAAACACTTTGTCGATAGGTATTTAGAGTGTTTGTTTATCTCTCGTTTGAAACAAATGAGGCTTTTGGAGGCTATGAGGAAACTTCCATCCTTTAATGGTAGGGGTGGGTAGCTGTTATGTTGAAAAAGCTTCAACCATTTAAAGGTAGGGTCGGACAGCTGTTATGTTAAAAAAAAATTCAATCATTTAATGGTATGGGTGGGCAGATGTTATGTTGAAAAAGCTTCAATCCTTTAATGGTCGGGCTGAGCAGCTGTTATGTTCAAAAATCTTCAATCCTTTAATGGTAGGGGTAAGCAGCTGTTATGTTGAAAAAACTTCAAACATTTAATGGTCGGGCTGAGCAGTTGTTATTTTGAAAAAGCTTCAATCATTTAATGGTAGGGCTGAGCAGTTGTTATGTTGAAAAAGCTTCAACCATTTAATGGTCGGGCTGTTCAATCATTTAATGGTCGGGCTGAGCAGTTGTTATGTTGAAAAAGCTTCAATAGTTTAATAGTAGGGTTGGGAAGCTGTTATGTTGAAAAAGCTTCAATCATTTAATGGTCGGGCTGAGCAGCTGTTATGTTGAAAAAGCTTCAATCCTTTAATGGTCGGGCTGAGCAGTGGTTATGTTCAAAAAGCTTCAATCATTTAATGGTCGAGCTGAGCAGTTGTTATGTTGAAAAAGCTTCAATCATTTAATGGTAGGGGTGGGCAGCTGTTATGTTGAAAAAGCTTTTAATGGTAGGGTTGAGCAGCTTAGACATCCAGTTCCAGTTACTTTTTAAATATTTTGAATATTAGAAATGCATACCCTATCATACATATAGCTACCGTGATACGCTGTTTCGTGGAGAGATAAATAGACGAGTGTTTTTTAAATGGTATCTATGAAAAAAAAATCGAGATCTGATTAGTTTCAGAAGCTTCTGATTCAATCAGGAACCTAGTCATATATTTCATCTCAAATTCTCGACCTTTACATATATCATGAAGATTGAAATAGTGACCATCACAGCGGCTCATCCTCGCCACTCATTACATAGTAAGTGGCTCCCGAAGTCAATACTTTCGATAATTTAAAGATATTTGTCTGCCTTCATTCTTTTAAGGGGCAATGGCTTATATGTGGTTGCATGTATAACGGAAAAGAAAGGATACAGTGTATCAATCCATGACAAAAATCACTACACGCACATGTGAAACAAAAGCAAAGGAACAGCACTTTTATTGTTGTTCTATATCTCAAAGTTAAAGTGAGACTTATAAGGGGAGAAAAACTCGCACATCACTGCCATACGTGTTAAAAATAGACCCCAGCACCGATATTTTATGTAATATTCTTTGCTAGATTTCGATCACGCTACATCTGTATAAGAATACAGAGATACGGTATTATTGCCAATGAGACAACTATCCACCAGAAATCAAATTGAAGTAGAAATAAGCATTTATAGGTCACTGCAAGGCTTTCAACAACGAGTAAGCTATAAGAGGACCCTCCAAAATGTAAAACAATTTAAATGAGAAAACCAACGGCCTTATTCATGATAAAACACTACGCGAAAAACAAATATGACAGACAACAACCAATGACTACCACTGAATTAAGTCTCTTGACTTGGGACAGGCACATGCCCATACATCATTTGGCGGTGTGAAATATGTTTGCGATCGCTCAAAGACAGCTGCGAGGAAATAAAAACACATTATGATTAAACCTGGAAAATAAATCGAACAGATAGTGTCATAAATTTCCTGGCATTCGCACTATAGCTTACAGAAACAATACCAACATTTATCGCACTAAAGCGTTCAGAAACAATACCAACATTTATCGCACTATAGCGTACAAAAACAATACCAACATTTATCGCACTATAGCGTACAGAAACAATACTAACATGTATCGCACTATAGCGTACAGAAACAATACCAACATTTATCGCACTATATCGTACAGATACAATACCAACATTTATCGCACTATAGCGTACAGAAACAATACCAACATTTATCGCACTATAGCGTACAGAAACAATACCAACATTTATTGCACTATAGCGTACAGAAACAATACAAACATTTATCTCACTATAGCGAACAGAAACAATACCAAAATTTATTGATTTAGTTTTCTGTGCGTTGATGTATAGGCCTGTTTGTTTTGCTACTGTTTCAAGACTTTTGGTCTGGTGTTGTGCATCTTGGAAGCGATGGGATAGTGTACAAATGTCATCAGCAAATTCTAAGTCTTCAAGACGTGTTTGAGAGTCCATCCAATGCTTTTCGGATCTTTGTAGGCTGATTTACCAACCCAGTCAACTACAATTAGGAAAAGGAGCGGAGAGAGTAGACAACCTTGACGTACCCCAGTTGTAACGGGGAATGGTTCGGTCATAGTTCCACCGTGTATAACTTGACAGGAAAATTGGTCGTATAGCAGTTTTATCATTTTGGTGATCTTTTGTGGAATTCCATAGTGTCCCAGAATGTTCCAGAGGACCTGATGGTCAATGCTATCAAAAGCTCTCTGGAAATCCACAAAATTTAGGTAGAGTGTCGTCTGCCATTCTATTGTCTGTTCGATGATAATTCTCAATGTGGCTATTTGGTCTACACATGATCTTTCTTGTCTGAAGCCAGCGTGTTCATCTCTTAATATCTTATCGACTTCATTTTTCATTCTGTTAAGGATGATGCTACAGAGCAGTTTGCTCGGTATGGACAATAAATTTATCGCACTATAGCGTACAGAAACAATACCGACATTTATCGCACTATAGCGTACAGAAACAATACCGACATTTATCGCACTATAGCGTACAGAAACAATACCAACATTCATCGCACTATAGCGTACAGAAACAATACCAACATTTATCGCACTATAGCGTACAGAAACGATACCAACATTTATCGCACTATAGCGTACAGAAACAATACCAACATTTATCGCACTAAAGCGTACAGAAACAATATCAACATTTATCGCACTATAGCGTACAGAAACAATACCAACATTTATCGCACTATAGCGTACAGAAACAATACCAACATTTATTGCACTATAGCGTACAGAAACAATACACACATTTATCTCACTATAGCGAACAGAAACAATACCAACATTTATCTCACTATAGCGTACAGAAACAATACCAACATTTATCGCACAATAGCATACAGAAACAATACCAACATGTATCGCACTATAGCGTACAGAAACAATACCAACATTTATCGCACAATAGCGTACAGAAACAATACCAACATTTATCGCACTATAGCGTACAGAAACAATACCAACATTTATCGCACAAAAGCGTACAGAAACAATACTAACATTTAGCTTTTGTTCATATAGCTCATCACGTATTCAGGTATTATAAATTCTAGACTTTTCAATTTATACAAACGTGGATTTCAAATATTTTGGGGTTTGATCGTTCCTGATGAAGTTAAATCCTGAAAATTGATACGGACAATCGAAATTGATAAAGTGTTATTTTCTGTTACAAGCATAGTTATATTATAGTTGATACCATTTCGGATAAAACTTGATTAACATGTTTTCATCAGCACAGTACGTGGTGTTCGGTACTACCACGATTAAAAAATGCTTTTCTTGAATTCTCCGATGATAAATTAAGAATTTATTTACTGTACAAACAGAGGTTCCAACTTTTCTTCTTTTTTCTTGTTCTTAAAAGAGCATTTTGTTTTGATACAACAGGAATAGTGTCATTATCTCAAAACAAAACACTACCACATGTAGAAGCTACAGATTGACCAACATGAACATCACAAAATAAAACACCATCACATGCAGAAGCTACAGATTGAACAACATGAACATCACAAAATAAAACACCCTCACATGCAGAAGCTACAGATTGAACAACATGAACATCACAAAATAAAACACCATCACATGCAGAAGCTACAGATTGAACAACATGAACATCACAAAATAAAACAAGGGAAGAATCTATTGTCTCCAAAAGGGTAAACTGATCCTTCTTCCTGATTCAACTAGTGGTGCACGACGTGTTGAAGATTTCAAAGGGGGAAAATCCGGTCTTGAATAATTAAAATTGAAGAAAATATGACGGATAGTTGCTACGACATTTTATGGAACATATTTTGGTAATTAAAGACACAAATATTTCATAACTGTCGGCGCTCATAAAACTTTCAAAAAGTTGACTTCAACAGTTACAGATAGAATTCAATAGCTTAATTGGAAGCATTAAACCTATATCAAGTTATGATATAGGAAAGGAAAATAGCGTAAGTATAGTGAAATCCACTCCATACTTTGAAGTGTGATTTCATATTTCAGTTACTGCTCACAATCTTCTGCATGGTATTATTTGTCATTTTTTCTAAGTGTTACTGCGTTTTTGTTGTCTATAATACCGGTGTTTAAGATTTAAGTGCCTTTTTCTAAAAAAATATATATTTATGAAATACAAAACTTTGAATGTGCTTTCTTCCATGTACATTTCATCGTTTAACTGGTCAAGATAAATAGGGGAGATTAAAACCTAAAAGAGTTGCTTTCACCCCGCCGCAGAAATGTTCATAGCATGTGTCATCTTTCGTGTCAGGAACCTGGACCATGATGTCTTAGACGATTTTCATGCCAATTAGAGTTTTACAAATTGTATATGATCTAGACTTTTTTGGAAGACCCGGATTTGAACTCAATGGGTTGCTCTTTCATTGACATACAATAAAAATCTCCTTTTATTTATAGGAATACCATATTTAACTTATGTACATGTTTCTATGAAACATTGCTCGGTAATATTAGTAATGTTTTTTAGCTGTTTGCACCCATCACCAAAAGGGTTACATCCTATGTCTCTCCGCTTATATTTTTCTATGGTAGAAAACGGTAAATAAAATTCAGACATCAAGGTTTACACGGATTGTTGTTTGTTGTTTGGTTTAAGTAGCAATTATTTGATGGATATTCTGAACAAAACATTTATACCTAGGTGGGTCACATGTGTAAAAGGCGTGAATTAGTATCTACGTCACGGGAAAAAAGAGGATATTCTATATGTGAGCAGAAACTTTGCCTTTCAACATGCAACCTACTGAGTCTTCAAAGAGTTGATAGAAGCTTTCGTTAACCTGCAGAGAAAGTGGCATTGTCCCTTAAAGAGGCATCATGTTTTGAGTCCCTATTCCGACCGGACATTGCCGCGTATTTATACATCCCGCACGGGCGACTGTCTTCTGCATTTGTTTTACTATCGGACTGGAGGCTTCCAGGTTAACCTATTTCTCATCCGTAGTCAACCCTGAGTTACCCTTCGGTTTCGGTATCATGGATAAGAAAGTTGTGTCTGGTTACATTTCTCTTGTATACCTCACGTGTTGAATAAAACACTTGTACATGATTGAGAAATCTTACTTTATTATTATTATTATTATTATTATTATTATTATTTATCAGGTCGTCTATTCGAAGACAAAAAATCTGAAAGAAAACTTATAACTCAGGAACACCTTTTCGATTACCCGATCGGATGGAAAGGATCCCATGGACATTGTCTATGACAGTATGACGGAACATTAAAAATGTCTGAATTTGGTGCCCCTAGTGTAAATGATTTCTGGTTAAATGTCATGTTATGTATGGATCTTTTGTGGAATTCCATAGTGTCCCAGAATGTTCCAGAGGACCTGATGGTCAATGCTATCAAAAGCTCTCTGGAAATCCACAAAATTTAGGTAGAGTGTCGTCTGCCATTCTATTGTCTGTTCGATGATAATTCTCAATGTGGCTATTTGGTCTACACATGATCTTTCTTGTCTGAAGCCAGCGTGTTCATCTCTTAATATCTTATCGACTTCATTTTTCATTCTGTTAAGGATGATGCTACAGAGCAGTTTGCTCGGTATGGACAATAAATTTATCGCACTATAGCGTACAGAAACAATACCGACATTTATCGCACTATAGCGTACAGAAACAATACCGACATTTATCGCACTATAGCGTACAGAAACAATACCAACATTCATCGCACTATAGCGTACAGAAACAATACCAACATTTATCGCACTATAGCGTACAGAAACGATACCAACATTTATCGCACTATAGCGTACAGAAACAATACCAACATTTATCGCACTAAAGCGTACAGAAACAATATCAACATTTATCGCACTATAGCGTACAGAAACAATACCAACATTTATCGCACTATAGCGTACAGAAACAATACCAACATTTATTGCACTATAGCGTACAGAAACAATACACACATTTATCTCACTATAGCGAACAGAAACAATACCAACATTTATCTCACTATAGCGTACAGAAACAATACCAACATTTATCGCACAATAGCATACAGAAACAATACCAACATGTATCGCACTATAGCGTACAGAAACAATACCAACATTTATCGCACAATAGCGTACAGAAACAATACCAACATTTATCGCACTATAGCGTACAGAAACAATACCAACATTTATCGCACAAAAGCGTACAGAAACAATACTAACATTTAGCTTTTGTTCATATAGCTCATCACGTATTCAGGTATTATAAATTCTAGACTTTTCAATTTATACAAACGTGGATTTCAAATATTTTGGGGTTTGATCGTTCCTGATGAAGTTAAATCCTGAAAATTGATACGGACAATCGAAATTGATAAAGTGTTATTTTCTGTTACAAGCATAGTTATATTATAGTTGATACCATTTCGGATAAAACTTGATTAACATGTTTTCATCAGCACAGTACGTGGTGTTCGGTACTACCACGATTAAAAAATGCTTTTCTTGAATTCTCCGATGATAAATTAAGAATTTATTTACTGTACAAACAGAGGTTCCAACTTTTCTTCTTTTTTCTTGTTCTTAAAAGAGCATTTTGTTTTGATACAACAGGAATAGTGTCATTATCTCAAAACAAAACACTACCACATGTAGAAGCTACAGATTGACCAACATGAACATCACAAAATAAAACACCATCACATGCAGAAGCTACAGATTGAACAACATGAACATCACAAAATAAAACACCCTCACATGCAGAAGCTACAGATTGAACAACATGAACATCACAAAATAAAACACCATCACATGCAGAAGCTACAGATTGAACAACATGAACATCACAAAATAAAACAAGGGAAGAATCTATTGTCTCCAAAAGGGTAAACTGATCCTTCTTCCTGATTCAACTAGTGGTGCACGACGTGTTGAAGATTTCAAAGGGGGAAAATCCGGTCTTGAATAATTAAAATTGAAGAAAATATGACGGATAGTTGCTACGACATTTTATGGAACATATTTTGGTAATTAAAGACACAAATATTTCATAACTGTCGGCGCTCATAAAACTTTCAAAAAGTTGACTTCAACAGTTACAGATAGAATTCAATAGCTTAATTGGAAGCATTAAACCTATATCAAGTTATGATATAGGAAAGGAAAATAGCGTAAGTATAGTGAAATCCACTCCATACTTTGAAGTGTGATTTCATATTTCAGTTACTGCTCACAATCTTCTGCATGGTATTATTTGTCATTTTTTCTAAGTGTTACTGCGTTTTTGTTGTCTATAATACCGGTGTTTAAGATTTAAGTGCCTTTTTCTAAAAAAATATATATTTATGAAATACAAAACTTTGAATGTGCTTTCTTCCATGTACATTTCATCGTTTAACTGGTCAAGATAAATAGGGGAGATTAAAACCTAAAAGAGTTGCTTTCACCCCGCCGCAGAAATGTTCATAGCATGTGTCATCTTTCGTGTCAGGAACCTGGACCATGATGTCTTAGACGATTTTCATGCCAATTAGAGTTTTACAAATTGTATATGATCTAGACTTTTTTGGAAGACCCGGATTTGAACTCAATGGGTTGCTCTTTCATTGACATACAATAAAAATCTCCTTTTATTTATAGGAATACCATATTTAACTTATGTACATGTTTCTATGAAACATTGCTCGGTAATATTAGTAATGTTTTTTAGCTGTTTGCACCCATCACCAAAAGGGTTACATCCTATGTCTCTCCGCTTATATTTTTCTATGGTAGAAAACGGTAAATAAAATTCAGACATCAAGGTTTACACGGATTGTTGTTTGTTGTTTGGTTTAAGTAGCAATTATTTGATGGATATTCTGAACAAAACATTTATACCTAGGTGGGTCACATGTGTAAAAGGCGTGAATTAGTATCTACGTCACGGGAAAAAAGAGGATATTCTATATGTGAGCAGAAACTTTGCCTTTCAACATGCAACCTACTGAGTCTTCAAAGAGTTGATAGAAGCTTTCGTTAACCTGCAGAGAAAGTGGCATTGTCCCTTAAAGAGGCATCATGTTTTGAGTCCCTATTCCGACCGGACATTGCCGCGTATTTATACATCCCGCACGGGCGACTGTCTTCTGCATTTGTTTTACTATCGGACTGGAGGCTTCCAGTTTAACCTATTTCTCATCCGTAGTCAACCCTGAGTTACCCTTCGGTTTCGGTATCATGGATAAGAAAGTTGTGTCTGGTTACATTTCTCTTGTATACCTCACGTGTTGAATAAAACACTTGTACATGATTGAGAAATCTTACTTTATTATTATTATTATTATTATTATTATTATTATTTATCAGGTCGTCTATTCGAAGACAAAAAATCTGAAAGAAAACTTATAACTCAGGAACACCTTTTCGATTACCCGATCGGATGGAAAGGATCCCATGGACATTGTCTATGACAGTATGACGGAACATTAAAAATGTCTGAATTTGGTGCCCCTAGTGTAAATGATTTCTGGTTAAATGTCATGTTATGTATGGCTCCGATATGGTTCGATTTTTCATGATACAGACAGGGAATATTAGCGTCTGTAAGATACCAACTGTCCATAAAAGCATAACCGGGTGTCTCCCAACCATTACATTTGGAACCATTAACCATTTCGCTCCCAATGTAGGTGCCGTTCTTTAGCCAATCGGGTTTCAAAACGCCACAGTCATGGTCCTGGCCACACACACGGCAACAGGTCTTAGCTTCAGGATAGTGGACGTATAAGTTTGTGTCGTTTGAGAACAAAACCTGGCATGGAGCCTTTTTATCATGATCACTCAGGTGTTGAAACATACAGAAAAAATCCCCTTGTCCTCTGAGATGATCAAACCGAGCTTGTTTGTCGTAATAGTTATAATATAAGGTACCATCGTTTTGGTATAAAGTTATAAATGATAGATAAGCAACTTCGCTAAAGTCAATAGAAAAGGCTGATGGCCAAACTGGTGGAGGAATTGCATCCGTGATAGCTATAACCACGACCATAGCCGTAAAAACGCACGTAAGCATGCTTCTATTCATCTACAAGCAAAATGTAAATTCAAATTAATAAAATTCAACAATAAGTACGAAAATTAGCATAATTCTTTGGAAAGTCTTGAATATTTGTTCAAAAGAATAGATACTATTTTTATAAGCGATTATATGGACTTTTTGACAAGTTTATTTGAACCACGAAGAAGATTTTTCTCTGATCTGAAAAAATGCGTGGTATAAAGACATAGTTACATAACTTCTGATAAATGTGACGTAATGGATCATCTGTTCAATATGATTAAGTTATTGAACGAACAAATCGGTTTGTGTCATTTAATCTGCAAAGCTCGGGTGACCCTTCTTGACCCGAATAACGTAGGAGTTCGGGTTAAAGGGTCATCCCGACCGTGCAGATCAAATGATATATAACGATTTGATTGGCAAATAAGTGTTTTAACACATATGACGCCATCATTTTACATGAACGTTTTGGAAATATGCGGACGATTTATTCAATACACGGCTCCTGAGAAAGTTTTCTTGTAGGGTAAAGAAAAAGGAAAATAGTAAAAGTTTGGTAACTTTTAATTTATGAACTTTTGTGATATTCAGGTTTTCTCCTTAATTGTTGAAAACTATATGTTGCCCTCTGGATGTCCTTATGTTGTTTTTGTAGTTTGATTGCTGTCTTATAAACAATATCCCCATCAGTTTTAGTTCTGTTTGATATACTTTTAAATCAATTTATGACAAATCATAACTGAGTATAGAATAATTGCTTTTTCTTTCCCTCAAGAATATGCTCAGAAGAAGATAATTAAAGAGAGATGTACCTGAAGTTATAATGCAAAGAAAACCGAAAAAACCGTTTCAATTATCAACCTTTAACTCCCCCTATCACCCACCTCCCCCTCAATGTTTCAACTGTATTTGATTTAATAACATGTCGCATGTAAACGAAATATGATTGATCTGCAACTTATATTTTTTCTGTTGTGGCAGATACTTAAATTTGAACTTTTTAACCTCATTAAGCACAAAACTAATCCAAATCAGATTTCAAGTATTTGGATGTTCTAAAGTACATTTAGTTTTTGGCAGAAATAAAAAAAAATATTATCTTTGATCTGTATTTAACACATCACAGATCGGACGTGGCAGGGTATTTATCCATTCTTCATCCCTAACAACAAAAAGGACACTAAGTACAGACCTGAGAGTACTCGCAGTTACTGACAGCTAGTTCAAAGCCAATTACAACGAATAAATAAAATCGTGTATCTAAGACTAATATATCAATCAGTACACATCCAACATCCAATGGATTTAGTGTAAAGACGTCATTAACAGTCACAGAAAAAAATTACCTTGTGCAATGCCAAAATAAAGGATTGACAGATTGTAGTACCGTTAAAGTGCATATGTGTATAACAAAACTATTAGTATGATTTTAATTTCCTGAAATCAAGGAAAGGACACTTATTGCTGTTGATATTTGATCTCAGTGGATTAAATATGTTAATGAGTAAGGCGTGGACATATATGATAACATTAATGGGCGATTAATGTACTTTTCATGAATTAAATATGTCAATCAAATAGTGGCGCTTTCTATGACAAAAACGGCTCTTATTTTCAGAAAATGAACTCATGGATCAGCTAGATTTTTAGAAGGATTTGATTTTATGATGTATGTACATGTAAATGAATTGTTGCCGTGATTTAAAGACCAGAGGGCCCTCGTGAAAAAGATCGATTAATAGAGGGGCTGTTGATTGCATAAGGCCCAAAATCACACATTTTTGGTGTATTTATTTTGACTCCGATAAAAATACGTATCCACCAATTTATCAATATTGCCTCCTCGTTTATAGACCACGTTATTCCTTTTTGTAGATCTCCTCGGGCATTAATTTTCTTCAAGTTTATGGAACCATTTTTAATTGAGGGTTACATTTACAAGTTTGTCTAGTGTTAAGGTAAGCCCCCCTTCTCGAATCATTTTATTTTGATTTATTAAGATGTTTTATGGTAATTGATTCCATTGTTTACTAGGTCAAGGAGGCGGAGCTAGACAGTGAAATAACAACTTCTTATGTGGAAGTTAGAACACTGATCTAAGCTCCTCCCCTTCTTTGCTTTTCCTATGACAAGCGATCAACGGCGGTATTGGAGAGTGCAATGACTAAAGAATCATTCAGTTCTTCTCTAAAAAACAGAGGTTAACTCACTCGAAGATTAAAGGAAAAATTACCATTTATGTTACAAACTTTTATCTTGAACAGCTACACCGGTATAACTACATAATCAACAATAGAATGAACTGTAGAATTTTAAATATCACAATGATGCAACTCATCTATAATGAGCAGGCACGTCCATGCATTAGAAAATAGTATTGTATAGCAAAATATAGAATTTGTAGTTTTTAGCGTGTTCTATACTTTTAAAATTATAGCCTTTCAAACTGTGTGTCATTTTTGTGATTTTGATACAGATGAGATCTCTAAAAACCATGAGATTAAACATAACATGATTGACTTCTCCCTCCAAATAACGAATGAGGACAGAAATAGCCAACAATTCTGACAACAACAAGTAGTTGTCTTCTGATTAATAAGAAAAGGACAAAACATTGCTTTTCTTACTCATTCATTTGGTTTTTTACTTTAAAAAGGATTTTAAGCTCTGTGATTTATAACTAGATCATACTCTGACAGAACATTTTCAAAACCGTAATCGGACATGTAGGGAATTTAGGAAAATCAAAGATAGTTAACCAGGATACCGGGTTATCAAAACGAAGTAACTATATTTTTCGACTTTGGATTTGCAGTGCAAATATATTCTGTATATGTATATATTGATTTTTTATCCAACAGATGCACTTAATATATATTATATATATATATATATATATATATAAGATCCTTTTTTACATCTGGTGATCCGTTTATTTGGCAATCGCCATGGCAGTCAGCAGGGTTTAAGAACATCCGTTGTTCGACCTGCTAGTCAAATGCGTTTTGTTAAAATATACTTTTTCACTTTTTTTGGTCTTTTGGAAAGTGTTGTTTGTGCTGTATTTAGACCACTCTACCAAGAAATTTGTTTTGCAGGCACACGTATAAAAATTGCGGTTTTTATCCAACGCAATCATAGGTTTGAACGTTGTTTTCAATTTAGACTTGTTTATATATATATATATATAACCAGTTGTTGGCATGACACGGGTTATGTTCTTCTCATATATGTTATGATGGTATGATACTAAACCCCTAACGGGAAGGATTGTGCCTGATATTCATATGATGAAGACATAATCTTTCAATCAGTTTAATTGAAGTCTGGAGCTGGCATGTCAGTTAACTGCTAGTAGTCTGTTGTTATTTATGTATTATTGTCATTTTGTTTATTTTCTTTGGTTACATCTTCTGACATCAGACTCGGACTTCTCTTGAACTGAATTTTTAATGTGCGTATTGTTATGCGTTTACTTTTCTACATTGGCTAGAGGTATAGGGGGAGGGTTGAGATCTCATAAACATGTTTAACCCCGCCGCATTTTTGCGCCTGTCCCAAGTCAGGAGCCTCTAGCCTTTGTCAGTCTTGTATTATTTTTAATTTTAGTTTCTTGTGTACAATTTGGAGTTTAGTATGGCGTTCATTATCACTGAACTAGTATATATATTTGTTTAGGGGCCAGCTGAAGGACGCCTCCGGGTGCGGGAATTTCTCGCTGCATTGAAGACCTGTTGGTGACCTTCTGCTGTTGTCTGTTCTATGGTCGGGTTGTTGTCTCTTTGACACATTCCCCATTTCCATTCTCAATTTTATATATATATATATATTAAGTGCATCTGTTGGATAAAAAATCAAACAAATATTTTGAATACACTTATAAAATCATTTATTTGTTATTTTAAATTTCGTTTTCATTGTATATAAAAAGGGAAAAAAGTAACAAGCGTTTATAAACTCACCTTTTCTTAGGTTAGAACAAGAATCAATGTCGACTTTTAATCACATAATGATAATATATATTTAATTTTTGCATGTTTACTTATTATAACGTGACTTCATTATTTATCAGTTTCTTCAAGCATGTGTTTGGCCTTTGCTTGAACTATTAGGTCGAAAAATAGTGTGCATATTATTGATGAAGTGAACAACACATCCTTATACTTATGTTGCAAAGTTGTATAACTTTCAATCATAACGCACGTCCTTATTTTACTGTTAAAGGGAAATCACACTATTTATACTACTAATATTTTTTGCATGTAGACAGATCATACTTATTAAGATATTTTAGGTGAAAAAAAAATTGGGGTCACCGATGTTGTTTTCGAGATATGACGTCATCAAAACTTAAAGAATCGCGTTATAACGAAATATAGAAATACCGCTCTAAATTGTTAAAAAAAGACAAACTTATTGAAAAACCATGTTTAACTGGAATAACAAAAACAGTCAAATGTAACTTGTACCTTATGAACATTTATTTGTCTCGGTTTCCTTATTTTTGAAGGCATTTGAACATTTCCCGCCATTTTTAATTGCTATTTATAATAGATTTTTCTTGAAATAAAAAAAATCTACTAATGTTTTTCCCTTCAAACTTCTGCATAAGT